TGATATTCGTTTGTGCAAGATTTTGCTGATAACGTTTTTGGTTTGCACGATGCTAGGCTTTACACTGTTTTGGCACGACTTATCTCTCCGGAGGTTGAAGTTGTACTGTTAATATATATATATATTCAAGACTTAAGTGCCAATTGACACCAACTTCAATGAAACTCACTTGAATTCCCTTGAGGCTGAACACGCTTTACAAAACGCACCATGGGATCGCAAGGATTTTTTTGTAATTATTGGACACAAAATTGCTTTATTTTATAAGATACTTTCTTTTCTCTTTATTATTTAGGGTTTTTCCGGCATGAAACCAGCTTACAACATTTGCCATACATTTTGTAACTGACGTTCTTACAAAACACGCGATGGGATTGTAGAACTATTTCACTGGATACTCATTATGTCAATAATTATACCCGTTACTTGTAGAGAAAAAGGGTATACTAGATTCGTTGAAAAGTATGTAACAGATAGAAGAAAGCGTTTCCGACCCTATAAAGTATATATATTCTTGATCAGGATCAATAGCGAAGTAGATTGAGCCATGTCCGTCCGTCCGTCCGTCCGTCCGTCCGTCTGTATGAACGCTGAGATCTCAGGAACTATAGCAGATACAAAGTTGAGATTAGGCATGAAGATTCTTGAGGTCCCGGAACAGCGCAAGTTAATTTCCGCATCCTACCACGCCCACTCTAACGCCCACAAATCGCGAAAAACTAAAATCGCTGAAATCTCGAGAACTATTACAGCTAGAAAGTTGAAATTCAGTACGTATAAGCTTTGGATGCCAGCGCATCTTTTAGTGGTATTATATGGCCACATCCACCCTACGCCTACCAAGCTCAAAAGACGGTTTTCGCATTTTCAAGAAAACCTGATAGCTCAGGTAACTATAAGAGATAGAAAGTTTGCATTAAACATGTAGGTTTTTTTTATGCTCCAAACGCGAATTGTTTTTTTCCATCTTGCCACGCCCCCCCCTAACGCCCACAAAACCCGAAAAACCATAAATGCAAAAATCTCGGGAACCTAAAATAGCTAGAAAATTTGGCTTAAGAATACGTATTTATGGGATGCCACTGCAACATCCCACGAGTTTTCATCCGGCCACGCCTACTGTAACGCCCACAAACCGCGGAACCTTGTGGCGTCTATAATAATATTATGAATGCCTTCGTTTGACCTTGTATAACTTATTTCTGTTAATATCTATCGATTTTCCAAAGATTTTTCAAATCGGAACATTATTTCGTTACTTATGAAAAAATGTAGGTTGTAAGGCCTCACATGGGCAGTAACGTCACTATCAGTTACTCGACATGCTTTCTCCGACAATAGGCGGCGTTTGTGTAATTTCCACTAGCAAAATAAATATATTAAAAATTCTGTAAAACAGTAATGGGTATCTTATAGTCGCGGCACTCGACTATAGCGTTTCCTCTTGTTTTATTTTCAGATTCTTCTCATTTTCTTATTATTTTTTAACCAGAAAACTGCATATATATTTTTCCTTGTTTTTATTTCTTCTTTCTCTACTTTTTTTTTAACTTTCTTTTGCTTGCTTTCCATCTTGCGTTTGTCACGGCTGTATATTCTGCACAATTTAGAAACTTGGCATCTTTGTTATGTATATTTCACAAGAATACTTCACCTTAGTTTGTGTGTGTATTTTTCATACAACATAATTATGAAGATACGATCCATCCTGGTTCGTTGTGCGGCTGCGCCAGTTATAGTATCGAGTCCTGCGGATGCGGTTCAAGGGAGATTCCAAGTTAATCCTTAATTGTCCTCAGGGCTTGATACCAAAGGTTTAGTTTAGTTGGGAGTTAGTTTGTGTGAAATCAAAAACAAGCGTCTTCTAGTTTCGAAGTAAATTTCTAGACTAACTTCATATATTGTTCAGCGGTGGCCGAGAAGCCTCACCGCTGTACCAAGTTTCAAATCCTCTTTTGTTTGTTTGACATAAAAAGTTCTTTGCATATACTATACATAAGGGCTTTAAAAACAAATACATGCCTCAGCCACCATATTCACCGGATTTGGCCCCATGTGACTTTTCTTGTTCCCAAAACTGAAGATAATCGAAAAATTTGAAAATTTGAATTTGAAAAGTCACCTTACTTTAACACACCTCGTATAACTCTAAAGGTTTCGATAATCGAAAATTTGAAATCAAATTTGAAGAGTCACCTACTTTTAACACACCTCGTACACTAATACAAGATGAAATAAAGAAATGTTTATGCAGCAATTCAACAAAGTGTTCGCTTGTGTCATATTTCCTTTGGCGAGGGGTCGGGGCATCCTGTTGCGATGTCATCAAAATTTTAGCGGGGCAACGACTCGAGTGGGTCGTTACCGGGTCTAAACAATGTTTCGGATTGCAACATACTTGCAGTGTGGGTTCAAGTGGTTGCCCCTTCAGCGGCCTTTCTAGGACTCTGGGAGGTTGCGGGGGTTCGTTGCCCCGACGGTGAAACTCGCGTCACCCCAAAATCTGTGTTGAGGAACGTGGCTCTTTCCGTGTCGTGTGTTATGACAATTTTTGTGTGACGAGCGCCAGCTTTCGCTTAATCTCGTTGTAATACTCCATGAGGCTTTGGTCCACTTGACGGACTGCCTCAAGCCTTTGCCGTTACAGGCAAAGGAGCAGTCTAACCTAGCCAAATGACATGACTGGCGCCGTGCTACATATTCACTTTGCACATCGCTAAACTCACGAATTGACTTGACGATATTTAACAGTATTTCGCACGGCACCACTGTTGGACTTTTCCTTACCGTTATATTTGAATTATTGAATTAGGTTATCATGCCTTAAGGGCCGTTGCAATGGAGTTAGTAACTCCCAACATAACTTCCCATTGAAAAGGAAGTATACCCTTGGTAACCAGGCATCCCAGTGGAATCCAGCCATATGAAAACTAATCTCTCCACAGCTGTGACTGACTCACTGACCGCGGCGTGGGACTACACCTAATTTATAATTTGTACAGTGGTTTACTTTAACATTCGGCATTTTATTTTATCAATTTCAAAATTTCAAATTAAAAAAGAATTTTAAAATGGTATGGTAAAGATCATTTTATTACCTTTTCATATTTTTTCCAAGAAGACAATCATGAAAGATATTAGCACCGACAAAATTAGGGAGGTTGTAATCCCCGATCCGACTTACGTACATATGTATAAATTAATTATTTTATGTTGGTTGTTATTTGTGTGGTACGCCTGCTGCTATCAGAGGGTCCCACGCAGCGGTCACAATTAAATGGAATATATTGATGATAGGGGGAGGCCGGTTGGCCGATGATCCTCTGATCCAGAATTAAGGGAGATTACGTTGGAAGGGTGACTGCCCTTCTTACCTGCTGGCCTAGGGACTCAGACAGTATTTAAGTGATAACAAATTAACGACTGATAGCCGGAGTTATATTTGATTGAGCTTGTGCTCTTTATTCTTTGAATACCAAAATTGAACTGAAACTTAAAGCTAACATAAAGGAGACTCATAGCGGCCACTCCAATGGGTAGTGTTTGCCGGCTACGCACGAGCTTCCTGCCAGACGCTGTGTCAGCAATTTGGCCGGAGCGAACTTTCGGATGATCGGTCATTGCCGTCGCCCGGTTAACTTAGTTAACTTATATATGTATGACCTCCAAAGCAGGTCCAGTCAAAATCGATTATTTGCAATAATTTCCATAATAATTTCCATAATTATGTTTATAAAATTGGTAATATATAATATTTATAAGTCTTCGTGAATACAGAAGTAAATACATATACATTATACACTATAGAAAATGTTACCACCTTTTCTACCCAAAAGCCACTTTTTAAAGGTTAAAAAATTAAAATATTTTTAACTAAATTGCATTAATATTAGATCAATTATAAGTGTTAGATAACAGAAATTTTAATAGATGGCGCCACTGCGAAAAAATCAGCTGATGAAATTTCTGTTCTTTACAAGCAGTGGCAATATTAGGAATTCAGCACAGTTTTAAAATCGTAAAAAGTAAAAAAAATAGAGAATATAATTAAAAATTTGAATCGTGTTTTTATCAGTGTAGTTTGTAATACGTTTTTTTGTATGCCAAATGTTGGGAAACTCGTTTTTATTTAATAATAGGGTAAAAATATAAGTAGTCTAAAAAACGTATTTTTAGAATTAAATCTCATTTTTATTAAAGGGAGTCCAGACGAATCCATCAATTAAATAAAGACTGTGTTTTGAGTATTTAATTCTTATTTAAATGAATGTAACTAGAAAGTTCACTTTTATGCACTTTTCGAGAAATTTAGGTTTAGACAATGCTGAATTGTTCCTCAAATTAGGCGTGAAACGCCTTCTATTACTTAAAATAATATAAATTATTATTAAAAACATTGTTCTTGTGTTTTTAAACAGCTAGTAAACATATTCGCAAAGTAATTTGGGTTTTATATAACAGACGGTCAACTTAGTTTTTAAATTAATATCTGATTTTGAGGTTGTTAGCAGTGCCACACTGATAATTTTTTCACATCTGAAATCTATTGACCATATGAAGTTAAGTAAAAACAGAATGTAAATGTCGTGCTTAGTTTTTGAGTTAGCTTGCGATTTTGAGGTTGTGGGCGGTGTCACGGCCACATATTTTTATATCTAAAATCTCAAATTTCAAATTTTCCATAGTGCATGTTGAAGAGAATCAATAAGTCTTTATCAATACAATAATTATCTTAAGTAGAATCCCCGAACTTATACTCAATTGTCCAATAAACCACATTGAAATTATACACAGGAGGCCCCGTTTCTAAATTTACCACCCCACAGCACCACTCACTTTTCCATTTAATATACATGCATGTATAAGATATTAATTGTAGAAACGAAATGTACAATCCAGCAGTGTTATTGTATTCTGTGCTTCTGTGGGAATTGGGTATAACTGGGCGTGTCTCTAAATGGATGGTGATAGTGCTCTGTGGGGCTTGGATATTAAAGCCTTTAGTACTTTGGGCCTGACGTGAGTGGCTACTGAATTAAAAGCTTTTGTGGTGTGCCGCATACGGGTGTGTTTTCGGAGAACGCTGCTTAAAACGACCAGTGAGCGACTAGAGCTGTGTGATATATTATAGTAAACAGAAGCGCGTTGACCATGCGGCAGCAATATCAAGTTGCACTCCGGAAATTTATGCATCAATTTATAGCTAAACCAACTGGACAGTCGTGGGCCTGTGGCGGAGCACTTTCAGGGACCAAACTGTTCCCTCGCAGGAACTACTCAAAGTTTAGCACCCACCTGTCCACGGAACGCGCGATGGAGCTGATTTGCAACTTGGACAAAGAGGAGCGCAGCAATCTTCGTAACGCTCTCGGCAAGATAGACGCCGAAAAGGAGAAAAAGTTTTACGAGAGTGAGTTCTTTTCGAAATGTCATTATTTACTTTATTTCTGCAGATTGAATTTAAAAGTGACATACATATGTGCGTTTCCAGGGAATGTTAACTTCATATCCACGTCGAGGAAATCGACTAGAAAAGTCCGTGTTTGGTGGTCTCGCTTTTGAAACTGCCGGAGTAGCTTTTGGCTACCTCACAGTGATCATTAGCACACTATCGGCAGCGCAAGTGTCGCCAATATCGAGACCCAACTTCAACTTCGACGGATCGCTTCCTTATTTTAAGCACCATTAAGCTTTTAATATTACTATGACGCGGTCGTTTACCAGCACATAACGTATTAGGCTGCTTTATGATTAGCTAGCTTTTGCACGTCGGCGTCTGCTTAATGATTTTGACTATTGTTTTCTTCTCGTCGCCGTGTACGTGTGTTCAGCTAATTGGACTAAACGAGATTAATTTTAAATATTTTCCACTTAAGGTAAAAGCTAACAAAATCGATTTAGTCGACATGTTTAGCTGTTGCTGGAAGCCTAGGTAAATTAAAATTTTTCAAAGTCATTCTCAATAAATGTAAATATACTTATAAGCGCCCAATTAAAAAAATAATACAAAATGTAATAAATAAATTTGGTAGTAACGAAATGACAGATAAAGTTCATTGACAAAAAGGGCTATTTCTAAAAATGCAAGTTAAGGCCAGACATGGCCAGAGGTATTGTCACGAATATTACCCAACTAGAGTTAACTGCATTGTTGTGTCTCCTGCCCTTGATTCCGTCGTCCTTCCTTCACTTAAAATGTTCAATATACGATTTTACTTTAAAAATAAAACAGTAAGCTTTTCAAAACGTTACAATGGTTGTAATGTTCAAATTCAAATGTCGTCTTATCGAGTTGGGGGTACAAATTGAAGTAATTCTAAATCGTAATTCGTGTGGCTTGTTGGCTTAATCAGAATATCACTTCACCATATCGCTACCAGAGCGGCTGCGGAAATCCGACAGCAGGGGTTTTGGGGACTTGGCCCAACGCGTTCCTGCGCTACAGATGCTAGCGCTGCATTTTCGGTTGGGCGCAGCGATGGG